CACGAGCCAGCTGTCTCATGGTGATAAGAGCGCTCTCTCTGGGGTCACACTTGAAGATCCACTCGGCCTTCGGCCTCGAATATGCCTGGGCTTAAATGCCGGCATTCTTCCCCAATATTTATGTTCCGCTGTCACAATCATATCATTTAGTTGTGACATCACAATTATATTAGTGAGAGAAATAGACAAGTACACACACGTACATGTTTAACACTGAAGAGCCAAAAAATGGGTTTCTCACTTACAATGATATGGTTTTTTCCAACTTGTCATTGGCTGCTTTGTAAAAGCAAAGAAGCCTCGAAAATCCTCTGCTTTGCATTGACATAAGGCAAACATTTGGACCTTCCGGGTCTCCATTTTTGCGTGTTTCAGAGAAAGCAATTTCAGAGTTAAGAAGCAGGTCAAGACGTGCCTGGAACTTACAGCTGCATCGTGGAGGCGGCTCCCAGCCGGTTCTCGTGCATTTGGCCGTGGATCCTCGGGTCACGGGATAAAAGCCATCTTTGCACCAGTATGTGACTTCATCCTCGAGTCTGTATGTGTTCCTTTTAGGACCGTAGCCACCATTTGCAATATGTGGAGGATCACATGTCATTTCTGTAAAAGGATATGTGGGTAACGCAGTCATCACTATATTCCCGTGAAAACAGTCAAGGTCACGAAAGTAAAGGCAGAGGGCGTTGTGATTCTGTCCTTACCCCTCGGCCAATGGCGTTAAGCGAGCCCGGCCTCGTGTCCCTCCCCGACATCTCTGGTCCCCTCGACCACAATTCTCAGCCGATGTATTATGTCCCCTGCACTCTCGAATCCGCTTTCTCCAAGGCCATCGCATAGGACACGATGTGGCCGTTTGTGGCAATGACAGCGTCATATGCCCCTCCGCTGTTCTTCCCATGGCCCTCACCTTCTTGGCTCCTGAAGTTCCCTTAAGGGCTGTTGACAAATATCCTGAATCGCTTATTTGACTTGCATAGGGTAATGAAAAGAATGTGGCTCGATTTGCAATAATCCTTTCCTAATAAAATATTATGCCTTTTAACTATTGTAGAAATGTTTTTATATTGGTGCCATACTGTATTTTTGACTCTAAACCTGTGTTGAATGTTCCGCATTGCCTGAAATCCATTTATCTGTCCCTAATTTACTTCCTATTCTATCTCGCAACATAAGTGACCAACAGTCTCCCCATTTTACTCGTCCCCTAACACAAATGCTCCTTCGTCAACAGATAATAAGTCCTCGCGGTCACAGAAAACTCAGCCTAACAGCTGTGGGTTCCCTCCGACTTCTCCATATTTTTTTTAACACTGGCCGTGTCTGAACTTAAGCCTTTCCCTTGGTCTCTGATGATAAGGGTGTTTTCTTCTTACCCAAGCTGGCTTCTCCAACCTTTCTTTCTCCTCTACGCCACTGTTCGTTCGTCCCTTGCCCGTATTTTTCTGACCACTCTCCGATGGCTGTGCGAGCTTCTCCAGTTTTCAACTCCTCCTACAACCCTTCGTCCGCGTTCACCTGACGTGCTGCCTGGCTTCTCCGCTTCACAACCGAGATCCTTAAAAATGCCATTTCACCACTGCTGTGCCCCGCTTTCCAACCTCCTATTCAGTTTTCAACCTACTGCTCTCTGACCTCTGACATCTCCATGTGCCGGCACTGCCCTGACAAAAGCCACCAATGTCCTCCAGTGTCCAAATCCCCAAATCTTTGTATTCTACATATCACAGTGGCCAGTGCACATTATGGGCTCCTGAATCATTCGTTGAACTGAATAGATAAAAATCCTCTGTGACGTTTGGCACAATGGATCCCTGACGTTTTAAAGTTCTCCAACGCCTTATTTCCTTATGTTCTCCTACGTCTCCTTCTCTTGGCCTGAACAATACTATTTTATTTCATTTATCCGACTTACAGCTGCCCCTCTCTCTTCCCGCTACTTAATCTTCGGTCCCGCGAATTCAGATCTCATCTTCCACCACGTGCCTACTTACACTCTGTATCACGCACGCATGAGGCTTCTGTCTGGTCTTCACACATGCCAAGCTTAATCCTACCTCGTGCGCTTTCTATTCCTTGTCTCCTGAAGGATCCTTTAGATCTTCATGTTGGCTCTTATCAACACCCCCAGAAACAGCCTCCCTTGAAGACTCTGTAGAGATTGGGTGAATGACTATCTTTGGTTCTACACGGAGTATTTATCTTGGACTTTGTCATTTTCCTCTTCGGATTCTGTGTGACTCAAGACACTTCCATGATAAAAAGCCACCACCATTATGCTAACAACTTCTCCTGTGACATTCAAACCCATTTATCCAAGGGCAGCTTCACACTGGACAGCTCCATGCGTGCAATTCTAAGGCGTATCCACCTTATGTGTGTCAAACTAAGGCATCATCCTTCTTTCAATATATAGTTTTCCTCTTGTGTTTGACATTTTAATTTCCAACACAAGAACTCCATGGCAGAAGCCTAGGAATTTATCCCACATTCCTGCCTGCCCGTCACTGCAGTGTTCAGACACCATATTCTGTTGTCATTAATGCTTCTATATCTCTTCCTCTCCGCATCTTAGTTTCACTGTGTGCGTTCGGCTCCCAGAGGCATCACAGTAGTCTCGTGATTGGTCTTAAACTCACGCTCCATTCTGCCGGAATAAGCTTTGTTAATGTCTCTATTACTAACATGACATACTTATATTAACAACAATCATACTAAAAATAATAGAAAAAGTGTGTGACCACCTAAACACAAGTTTTAAGTAAATATGCTTTCATATTTACTTGAATTAATTTACGCTAACCTCATATAAACCTTAAATATGTTCATTTATTTTTTTCTCTCCCTTCATCTGCTATATCCATAAATTTTCATATACTCATTGCAGTCCAGTGTACATATCTTCGTTTTCATGTTATAGTATAGTTGAACTTATTACTAAATGTTTTAAGTCAAAAGCTATGAGATATAAAAATCATGAGAGCCCAACCAAATAGTTAAGTGAATTTTGTTAAATTAATTCAGAGTGGAAGAATTTTTGGTGGTTACTTTCAAGCGGTGCATATAAATCTCTTGATACGTTTTAATTCCCTACTCTCATAATCTCCACGAAAATATATATTGCTATTAAAACATTCCCAGGGCACGTTTCTCTATCCAAAAATAATAACAGGTGAGACTAAATGTGTAAGTCCACGTTTTTTTTTTTCCCCTCCTATTAGAAACAATCAACTTGAGAATGATAAATCAGTTTTAGCCTATGCTGTGAAACAGTAGAAAATACAGTTTGTACAGGAAATGGATGAAATTGGATCAAAGGTGGCTTTTATTTAGCAGGTCTTGGTACTTGTAATTATTCCTGTAAGTGACTTGTTGTCAGAGACTGTCCCTGAGTGGATAAGAGACTAAAGTTTTGACAAAGTACCTTCAGATAAAACCCCTGACACATATAAGTCATAGACCAGAGGGAAGAAAATGTAAGTATTTTGTCCAGACTATTTTATTTTGAAATGTCTTGTATTTTAGTTTCAAATTTCTTATAGACTTAGAGACAAGACATACACTTGTAGAATTCATCATTATCAGTAGGTAGATATTTCCATTGTACTAGGAAGAAAATAAGTGTTTGTGATATAATTAGCTGAGGCACAGAGAGTAGAATTTCCTTTATAAGAGACTTGTCCGTACCTAGTTAATGTAAAATGCACGTCAATAAATGAAGCCTGTTGCCAGAGAGAGCGCATGCGTATCTAATTTGGGGTGAACCTCTGTTTACACTGGTCTTTAGCAAACTGTTTTTTTGAAACAGAGTGCCTGACCCTGGCGTCTCTCTCCCTAGAGAAAGCAGGACCCCACGGCAGACAGTCTTGAATTTTTAAGTTACGACATGTGACTGAGAAAATGAAAAAGAAACTCTGAAGAGAAAATGTTTTATAAATGTGGACTCTGTGTGTGTGTGTATGTGTGTGTGTGTGTAAATGAGTCAAACTTCAGGAAAAGTAAGCCTAGAAATTGTAGTAACACATATGGGAAAATGAGAATTTCTCTTCATTAAAACTAATACATGCTAAGCAAGAGTTTTAAATAGGTAGCTAAGTGACCAAAATAATAATAATAATGATAATAATTAGACAACTTCTCTGAAGTAGTCATGCTGTCCCAAGTCCTATGCTCAAGTAAAACTGAATTCTCAAAGTCTTATTTGGAATTTACTGAAACTTGGAATGACAGACAGTTTATTCTAATGTTTATCCCGATACAGGACAAGGAGCCTGATAGAAAGGAAATAGTTTATAAGTCCCACTTGGACAGTTGGGTAGATAAATTAACTATCTAATATTTAAGAGGGTCTCTAGACACAAAACAGGGGCATAGGTCAATGACAGAGGACTTATGTACCCGCTTCCTTTGTACAGAAACCGTAGATGCCGCGAAGACAAACCATCTGAACTCCGCTCACTGTCAGCCTAACACAGTTCTGTGTGGGTTATTGCTGTCCTGTGTTCATTAATATCTTTCTAAAATATTTTCTTAACAGTGCCTGAAAGTGGAGATCATCCGATTGTGTAGAAGGGTGGGTTTTCCAAGTAGCTGCTGGCAGGTTCACCCAAATATTGGAAGGAAGGAAGGAAGGAAGGAAGGAAGGAAGGAAGGGAGGAAGGAACGGAGGGAGGGAGGGAGGGAGGAAGGGAGGGAGGAAGGGGAAGGAAGGAAGGAAGAGGAAGAAAGGAAGAAAAAAGAAAAGAAAAGAAAAGAAAGAAAAGAAAGAAAAAATTAAAATCAACTCAAAAACTCACTCTAGGTTTTCTAAAAGAGGATCACTAAAACCAGGTTTATACGTGGCGTTATGAATCACTTGCTTGAACGTGCAGAAGGCTCAACTCTTCTGCCCGCCAGAGCATGGAAAAATCGGCAAAACTTACCCTTGTAGAGAAGCTCACTCGATCTCTGATTTCACGCATGATAACAGTTACTGTTTTCACTCACTGCGGCAGCCCTCATCGAAAGCTAACTCACTCCTTTTCTTAGAAGTCTGTAAAGTGTCAACAAGGCTACGACCGTGCGATACTATACCTTCTTGCTCTTCCTATGATATCATTTCTTAAACTCCTCGACTCGCTACATTCTCTCACTTAGGCCAATATAGTTTAAAACCATCTCTTTTACAACAAAATAGAGTAAGAAGAACATAATATTCCAGACACAGCGTTTGGTGGGCAAAGAACACTGTTGAGTTGAACTCTTCAGCTCCACGTGACACCCGTCTGGTGTAGAGTTTAAAAAAGCGCCGTCATCGCCGTCGGCTCTTATTAGGCCTGTGGTTAATAACATCTCTGATTTCTGCCACTTAATTTCATTGTCACTTGCTTTTGACCAACTACTCCAAGAGCTGTTGAACTTTTCTAGTCCCATTTATGTCTGTCTTCAGAGCGAGAGAATAATATGAACTGATCGCAGAACGGGCCTTGCACACATAAAAATTTAAGATATCTACTGTATTTATGATAGTCGATTCCTATAAACATCGATATTCCATTGTGAGAAAAATAAACCACTTAACTATAAGAGGTATATGGGTTAAAACAATTGGTAAAATACACAGCCGAAGATACGGACAAGAAATGAAAGATTACCTTTACATGCAGGGGGTGGAGTCCACCCAGATTTCGTGCACACGGCATCTGCTCTCCCACTGTAACTATAGCCTCTGAGACATTTATATTGAAGTCGTTCATTTTCTTTATAAGTGTTCTTCAGGGATATAGGCTGTCCATTTGGAATGCGTGGTACCTTACACGAAATTTCTAAATAAGAGGGTTTAAATTTCAAGACGTTTGTTAGATCTCCAAGGACTCTGTCCACGACACGGGTGTATAAAGATGCAAATTTTTTTTGTCATGAGGTAAAGCAAGCGAGCAGACAGAAGTTCTATTTTGACTTGGACACTTGATGAATAATTTATCTATTGTTCTTAACGTTTATTTTTGAAGGAAGTTAACATGCTGGTTAAAATTATGTTGCCGAGTTTATTTGGTTTGAGGATAAATTTGTCCTCTGGAAATAAATAATGGCCAGAAACGTTCGTCGACTGTGTATATAAAATCGAATATAGACATAAGCTTATTGAGAAAAGTGTGTCCACCGAGTAAGCCGCAAAAATTACATATTTTCTAGGTATTGATAATACAGTGCTTATTTAATGGAACACTCTGTCAAAGAAATTAATTTATCCCATCGTCATTACAATTCCAAAGAGTAACTGACTTTCTGCTTTTATGGTTTCACTATCCATCCAAGTTTTCTATCAAGACAGAAAATGGCCGTCATCTTTGACACCGTCTCCTCGCAAACATTTCCTCCTGGGACAGCAACGAAAACTAACTCCCAGATCCTTTCACTTTTCCAATCTGTTTTCCTGTCTGTAACTGAACAAACCTGCTTTTCGTCGCTGCCTCGCTCCACTGAACGTCCCTCACCGACTTCCCAATTCGATCTGCACACAAGCCCAATTCTTCAGCATGGTGTACGCAGCATCTCAGGACCTTGTACCGGCCTGGCTTTAATCTGTCACTGACCTTCCCTGTTTGTGTCCTACACCTGAGGACAGTGGGAACGGGCGAGCTTCATGCTCAAGGAAGCCTTACTGCATCTGTACAACTTCTGCATGAGCTCCTGACCTCTACAAAACTCCCTTTAAGACTTAGGCATTAGTCGTTATGCATGAAGACGGTTTCATTAACCATGGAAATTTGGCTGTAAGGAGTAAACCCTGTCCATAAACCTCTAGAGTATACGGTATTTGCTACACTGAATATAAATATTTGATCATCACCAACCCGAAAAACTAGTTGGGTCAGAAAACCGTTTTTAAGAAGAGAAACACTTTCCTCTGTATGTCATTGTAGCAAATAATTTGGAGGTTTTAGATAATGTTAAACAATAAACATGGCAGAAGTTTCTGCCGGACGCAAATCGATAGAACAAAGTATGGCACTTTAAATAAATTGACCGTAATGTTTCATTATGAAAGCCAAAATGATCAAATTGGTTATGATGCACGGATCAGCAGTATTACAACAGAAGAATTCTTAAAAAAAAATTTTTTTTTTAATTTTTAAATTACAATTGATATAAAATATTATATTAGTTTCAGGTGCTTAACCTAATGATCAGATATTTATATAGCTGAGGAAATGATCTCCATTAAGTCTAGTGCCCACCTGACATGTACCTAATTATTATAATACTATTGACTATTTTTGCTATGTTGTACCTTAAAGAATTCTTGACTTATAGTTTACTATATAGAACCCTTTTTTTAAAGGCGAATGTTTATTCAATGGGATTCGGTTCGGTTCAGTTCAGGAATATTTTTAATAAACTCACGGCACAGATATAAAATGGGCCACTTCCTAGAAGTGTTATTCAAAAGCAGAATGTCATCATGATGCATCAGTAGAAATAAATAATGAATCTTCAGCTATTCGAATTTTTTTTGAAAGCTTATTCTGTAGGCCAATATTAAAACTCGCAGCAGAAAGGCGCTTACCGATCTATTTCAGCCTTAAGAGCCAATTACAATTGAATTATAATTAAGAGCATGGACTTTGGTGTCAGATACGGTGGTTTGAATATTAACTCTACCATTTATGCCATAAGAACCCTGGACATGTGACTTAACTTTTTTTTGGCCCCCCAGTTTCCTCAATTATAAAACAGAGGTGAAAACGATACATAAATCACGGAAGTCATTTTGAACGTAAAATGAGATGACGCATGTCAGAACTTGGATGAATTACTGGGAAATAGTTAAGTCCTCAATAAACATTAGTTATGATCAGTATTATTCAGATTCTTTAGGCGGCACGGTGTTTTGAAATACATATTTTCATGAGAAAAACTAAAACCATTCAGATAATCGGATGAACAGCAGGTGCATCTTACCCACACAGTTGGGTTTCTCTCCACTCCAAGCTCCATCCACTGAGCAATGAATCTCTTTAGCTGCATCAAGCATGAAGCCCGGGTTACACTCAAATCGTATCACTTGCCCAAAAGTGTATTCCTGGTTCATTTCCAACGCAGAACTGACGATTCTACCGTTCTCTGGTTCTGCCACTGGTAAACACTTAACGACTGAAAAAATACAGACAACTCTTTCTAACGGAATTGGAAAACTTTATCATGAAAAACACGTATATATACAATATAGATATAAAATCGTCAGCAAGATAAGATTGGAGGAAATTACTTGAGAGACAGAGAGAGAGACAGATGAATTGGGAAGTGTGTGTGTTTGTGTGTGTGTGTGTGTGTAAGAAGCATTTAATGTACCAGTTTGCCGGAGATAAAATTCTGCTAAGTAAAAAAAAAAAAAAAGATAGCGAGTTTATCTCTGATACTTTTCTATGGACAAAGAAAATTACTACTTTGAATGACAGTTTATATTTTTGTAGGAACAAAAAGGTGCTTCTTAATAATCGAGGGATATAAAGCTTGAGATAATTAAATATCAAATTTCCATATAGGTCCCACAATCATATAATGCTGCATTCCTAAAGGTGTAAAAGCCAACTTTCTGATTATACTCACTTCAACAGAGAAAGAGTTTTAAATCTTCCTTCCTCTTCTGCATTGGTGTTCAAAATAATTTGTGACCTCCTTGTGATTTTACGTAATATTTTCCAATATTCTTTAGGTTACGGTACTCACACTTCGTTTTACACTAGAATGACCCAGGACGCTTGTCAAAATGGAAAGCCTGTGGCCACCTTCCTGTTCGTCACCCCAGAGAGACCCATCCGGTTGGTTTTTAGAAACCAAAAATTTCAGTTTTTAACAAACGCCCCAGGTGATTTCAATACAGATGTTTCCTGGAACAGTCATCTCTCGCCTCTCGCTCTCATAAATGAGAGATTTTCCAGTCCCTTCTTTAGGCAAGGGAGAGAAGGATTCTCCCTTCTCTCTCTCTCTCTCTCTCCCTCCTCTTCCTCCCTCCCTCCCTGCCTCTCTTTCTGCCTCTCTCTCTCTCCCTCTCTACTTACTCTTCGCCATGGAACTAGGAAACCTTATTCTGATTGATCTCTTGTATTTCCATGATGATTAGAGACTGGGATTCCTGATTCGAAATTCGGAACTGGGATCTGCATTTTCCCATTCTCGCTGTTTGCTCGATGGATCAGGGAGAAAGAGCAGAGCTCTCTCTTACTTTCTGCCTCTTCCAGTAAGACTGAGACTGCAGGAAAAGCCCCCCTTGTCAGATGAGAGCGGACAGATGTCTAAATCTTGTCATTGAGTGTGTTACTGAGTGAGTGACCCTTCATTAATAAAGCTGAAATTCTGATCTTCGCTTGGATGGTGATACTTGTGTTGTTTCCGGTGGTTAGAATCCAAAAGGAAAGAAAAATAAGTTTTAGATTTCCTAATCTCCAGCAAGTTGACTATTAGATCAGATGAGGTAGTGTTCACATGTGGTTACTGAAGCACAAGATAACATAGCAATGAAAAGTTTAGATATACATTCTGTACTGTATTAGAAACCACAAAAAATAACTGGAGGGAGAAATATTTAATTGTAGACTTTAACAATATTTTACTGTAAAACATTTCAAAAAAGTTAGATATGTCAAGAATTTTCCTATACTTATGAATCAGCTTTACACCTACCTTCACATACAGGAACATCATTGGTCCACAATCCGTCTGCTTCACATTTTCGGAAATTAATCTCACCTACCAGCTTATACCTGAAAACGCAAAAGAACAGTGATGAGCTGATGCGTGTTTATACCAGTTCTAAATGTGACAGCACCCTGAAGGTCCCAGCTCCATGTCAGGGAAAATTAACGACATACGCGTTTTCTACTTTTCCTTGTTTACTCCCTCCTTCTCTTCCTCTCTCTTTTCCTCTCTTAAATTTCTTTTTATCTTTCTTAAACTTTTTGTTTTCTTTCTTAAGAAAGGCTCTCCGGTACATGAACTCGGAATAACCACAACCTTTGGTTCATGACATAAACTCATTATTGTTGTTCTTGTTGTTGAGTCAGTTAATTAGCTACACCTAATGGTGTAATAAGGTCCGTGAACTATCACCAAAAACAAAAGCCATAAACATGATAGCTACCCCTCCTTCAGCCTTATTCCATTGCCCTACCCTCCATGATTATAATATTTGCTGATCATTTTGAGCTTTTTACATAAGCAAGGATAGCGCTAGCAAAAATTTCTTAGTGTGCGGTTTATTTTCAACGTTTGTCTCCATCTCCCCATCTCCATTCTAGAGATCTCTCCCAGAGTATACTCATTGAGTCAAGTCTGCATATAGCTCATTCGATGTCAAATTTATCTAATTATAGCGACTCATTAAGCTTGTCCTTAAAATCTAAAATGCTGTACTTGAAGGAAATTTCCTTGAGGCAGGTACAAAATGTACAATCATCCCCAGAGGCTTTAGATCAAGGCAAAGTGCCCTTCTCAATGTAGCGTGGATAGCTGGAGGCAAAAACTTTTTCTCAAAAAACAGAAAATGGGAAGTCATTTTGGTTATCGCGAGAGGGATGATTTAGAAAAGGGCCTTTCATAAACTTTTAAATAATTCTACAGAGACGAATGTTTCCTTCATCTACCAGTAAGGACATCCCTGCCCATTACACAAGTGAAACTAACAAACTCTCTCCCTCAAAACACACGAGTGTGTTCCTTTGATTGTATTGGTTCGTTTCTAATTCTCTAAGGGAAAACAAAAACAAAAACACTCCCATCAATGAAGAGGGAGTCACAGACCTTGAAGTCAAACACCTACTCTGTCATAGAAAAGAAACGAAATAATCGGTTATTAACGGTCCTCCCGTGGCTTCTTTCATTTCTTCTTCTAGCAGAGAGAGCAGATTTCCCATCTACACCAGAGACCCATCGTTCCCCACAAAGCCCTTTCAGGAATTATGTAAAACTCTACACAAAACCTCCTAGGGCCCACAAACACACAGGGGGAAGAGAGAAAGACTGTCCACAGGCTGGAGGTCAGGAAAAAGGAATGGCTATTTCTGCAACCCCAGCAGGTAAAATGCCAGCATCGTCTGCAGGGTGCCTCTGTAAATCTTCCTCCCTGTACGATGATAAGCCTGGGTATCCACACCGAATATCCCGAGTGGCTAGTAGTCAGCTAAACAGGTAAGCAGCAAAAGGAAGGCGGGTGGGACCAGGGATCGAAGAGGGAAAGTCTGCCGGCAGAAACCACGGGCGTATTAAACCCATTCAACCATTAGATTTTTCAACCGGGTCAGAAGGTGAGCATCTCTCCGACGGGCGAAACGGTCCATCGATAAAATTTCAAACTAGCATCCGATGCTTCTGTTTGCTGACCTTGCCTGACCCAAGGACTTTTATTTCAAAGATCTGGTTCCGTCGGAGCCCCAGAGGAGTGGTGGAGATGGTTACTCCTATAAACCCTATGATCGAGTTGTCCCCAACATTTACCCAAGATGAAGCGGGCGCAGACGAGTTGGGCAGAGACAGAGGGATGCAGATCACTCATTTCTTCACCGAGCTCTAAAAACTGAGATTTAGGGAACCTTCTGGGGAAAAGGCTGTGAGTTTTCATCCACTTTGCCAGGTCGAAGGTGGAACCTGATGAGGCCAAACTAGCATGGATTGAAAGAGATATTTCAGAGGTGAAGAGTGGAAGAAATGATAAAATCTGAACTTTATAATTTATAATTCAAGTCCAGAGGGTCTTAACCTTTTTGGCCATATGTAATAAGAGCAGAAGCGATGATTGAAGGTTGGGTTCAAAATTAAAAATATCTTTGAAAAATCTTCCTCGGGTAGTGACCAAGGAGAGACTAAATCACAAAAAAACTGGTATTTATTGGGTGTCTGCAATATACCAGAAATTCACCTCAGGGTTCCAAATGTGTGTCTTGTTTCTGTCTCCCGTCAGTCCTATGATGGCCCGACATGTTTCTGCTTCTATAAGTGAGGAAATGCGAGCGAAGAGATATTTTCAAATATGCACAGTTATCGAATGGTAGAGTTTTGGAACGCGGGCTTACGCCAACGCTCGAGCGTTAAAACGGTTTATTTTATTGCCTCAAATCAGGTTATCAGCGAGGAGAGACTAATAAGATGCCATTTGTAATCTCTTGATCCTATTTATACTGACGTAATAATGATACTGTTTTTCCCATGTTCGAAACGTTCTGTAAAGTAAGTTTTGGACCTCGCTGGGAATAACAGGGAAGACAGGACACCGAGGTGGTGACACGGTAGCATTTTTTTGGTCTCTGTGATGAGAATAATTTGTAGACGACGGAACCTTAAAGAATAGGAATCGTATCAGTGTAAAAGTCTTGCTCCTCCTAAATTTTATGAAATTTTATCAGTAAGGTACCATGGCACGTCATCCAATTTTGTCACCTTCCCCACTGTCCCTGACACATGGAACTCCCATAATCGTCTGTGCGTAATGTGACGTCATGAGCATTTCTTGGAGTGAACCCTGAGTTACATGCATACTATCTTCTCACCCTCCTAAAACTCCACTCTACTAGAGTAATTATAATTTGTCATAATTTTTCAACGTTGGGGAAATAACATGGGATCCAGAGGTAATCGCTTCCATTATTTAATTTTCATTTCTCGGGTTAAGTGTGTGCTCCCTATAAAAACGCTCGGGAAAAAAATAGAGTAACCTTAGAAATATCAATTAGTACAGTCCCTATTCACTGTATCGGTCATCAAGCACCTCAGTCATAATCTTCTCTCTGTGTTGACTACTTACCCCTCATTACACGTGTAAATCGCCGTGGCACCGTACACAAACTCACTTCCTTCCTCCAGATCAAATGAACCGAAGGCAGTGTCGCCAGGGTACCCACAGGGCCGTTCTAAAACAGAGAAGAGGTACAACGGTCGTCTGGAACACGGGGAGACGCATTTTAGGTACGAGTTTGGGGACATGGATATTTGACGGTATTATTAGAGGACAGGATGGAAGACACGGAACAGTGAAATGTGGCCAAGTTATCATTTTAGAATGGAATGTCTCCGGATGCTTGTTTATTGAATTTTGGAAGATGGTCATCCCTTCTAAGAACAGTGATGGGGTCGTGTCCCGTATTCACGTGACAGGAGTGCCATAATTCAGCCAGCATTCCTACACTAGCCGACACTCAGTATTCTTGCAACTAGGTTTTCGCAAATTTCGCAAGTGTGTGAATTACTTACTGTGACAAATCCTCGATGGATGAAGGGCCACCCACTCTCCGCTTCTGCACACCTTTGCAATAGCACCGAAACTTCGATATCCAGGGCGACATTTATATATGGCCTGAGTGCCCTCCGCATACTGTGGATCATTCCAGGAACCTGAGAGAATTTCTGTCTGTGTGTTTGGAGGAGGTTCTTTACAATCTATGAACAATAAAACCAAAATAAGCCCTTAAAGTAATTGTTTAAATATACAGTGTGTTTAGGTTACTTTGCTTTTAAATATACCTATATGGTTATAGGTCCAGCCAAATGGATGTCTTTATATATATATTTTTTTTAGCCGACAGAAATTTAAACTGCAAAGCCTCATAAAAATAACTTTCCAGAGAAATAGCTAACCTTCATTATCTTAACTTCTGTTTTGCATTCTACTACTCATTTATTAATTTGGAAAATATTTATTGGGCACTAATTTAAGTTCTGAAGAAAAAAACAATGAAGACACAAAGTACCTGCTCTCGTAGGGAAGTGAATGATTAAATAAGTAATCGAAGAGATGCAGAACATGCATTACAGGTAGATAAATTTTCTTTAGAAAAATGAATCGTGGTAAGATGATTCAAAATGGTACGGAAACACTTCAAAGAGGGTAGGACATGGTGAAAAGAACAATCTTTTTTTTTTTTAAGATAAATAATATTGATACAATTCTGGCAAAACTGATCAAGACATAAAAAAGAGAGAGAGAGAAGGTACAAACGTTATGAAAAATTGCCCACGTTGGAAATTAAAGCCATCATCAACCGTGAATAAGATAACATGACGTTGGTAAAAATTTAAGAAATCTAAAACTCCCAGCAGTTGGAAAGAATGTGGAGCACCAGGAACAGCTGATGACGAGGAAAACTGTAGTCACCATAACAGAAAAGCATTTCGCAACCCATAGTGCAGTTGAAGATATACACTGTTTAATCACTCAGAGATGTTATTCCTAGGAATATACCCTGGAGAAGCTCACGCACGTGGGAACCCGATCATAAGTGTGATTTTTTTTAATAGTCCAAATGGAAACAACTCCTACGTCTATCAACAGTTGAATGGATGAAAACTGACGGTATACCCACGCAATGGAATAATACACTAATGCTAAAATACGACATGAAAAGAAAGAAAGAATAATCGCATGGAAAAGACACAACGGGACATCGACTATTCCAGGATTATTTCACCTATATAAAATTCAAGAACAGACATATCTCCTGGGAATGAGTACACAGGCTGCGAGACTATTAAAGAAGAGCAAAATGTAATTACTAAAATATTAAGATATTGTTTTCTTCTGGAGGAACGTGGGGGTATTCATCTAGAAGAAACACACAGGGATTTTCTGAGAAATGTGTTACTTCTTTCCAGGAGGGATTATAATTGTTTGTAAAACGGTACATTCATATTTTACTTATTCACATGGTATGTAAAGAGGTAATAGAATCTGCATATACAGTATGATTCTTATTTTGCAAAAAAATCATTAAAAAATTCATGACAAATTAAGAGAACGCAAGAAATTACCAATGAAGCTCATGCCTACTGATTATAATTGCTAATATTTTTAATACTTCCTACTACTTAATTTAGATATAACTATCTTTAATGTTAGAATGATTACGTTAGTAAACCCCCAACACATTACTTTAAAAAATGGCAAATTCGAAGATACATGTTTATCCCCGTATGTATTTAGTGTTATTTTTGACGCTAAACTCCTTTTCTTAGTTTTAGAATCATAGTTGAACATTCTATTCTGAAATTTCTTTTTAACAGGAAAGGGGAAAAAAATAATCGACTGAGCTGGAACCCATCATGGAATATACCCATTACGATAACATTTTATAATTTTTCATAGAACAGAAAGCTCCATGGGAAACTACAATTTTTATATAATAAATTACACTTGTGTTGGACTTCACAGACACTAATTTTCCTCTGAAGTTTTTGCAAATTTTATCACATTTAGGTTGAGAACTTTGTAATAAAATGACTCCACAGTAGTTTTGATTTTTATAATTTATGTAATATACTTTTTCTCCACTAGATGGTCGTATTACTCTGCCATGAAACAACACAATCCGTCTGCTCCTCCCACCTCCCAAACGATTTTTTTTTAAATTTAATGTTCGTGTTTGTTTCTACATAAAATTTTTTTTGTTCATTTATAGGTTAATATGTGCTTTTTGCTTCTGAAATTCAGACCCACTTTAGAGAGCTCAGGTTATTAGAAAAATTAATTAAATTTCAAATGTAGATGCCAATCTTTTGAGTTGAGAATTAATTTCCACTAATATATTAACCTTTTGATAAATTTAGTTCCTATTCTGTTATTAACCTAATGCAAGAAAAAGAAATATACTTTTTTAAATTTATTCGATTTAAATTATTTTTATTAACATAGTGGTCTATCAAAAGAATAATCCAATCATTAAAAAAAAAAAAAATCAGCCCATTTGCTAGCCAGAGGCAAATAGTCTTCTTTTTGGTTGGTGTTATATTTCCAGATAATACATTTGTACCCCTATTCTTGATTTTTCAAATTTAGTTAACTGGATTTTACAACCAGATGTAAAAGACGCAAGACATACTTTTCACATGACCTGTCTACCAGCTTCTCACAATATTCACTCTGTATACGTTTACAAGTTCTCATATCGATTATATACACTTCAAATACTTTCTACTTCACATAATACTTAAAACTCTGGTGCTTCTTCCAAGAACTTTAAATGGCATCGCTCGACTATAAGAAAAAGATGTTATGACCCCTACTCCATTTTTCCATCTTCCCACCGCCAGTTCTAGAATCTTAGCTCTGATTATCATCATCCGGCACCTTGACCATGACACATTTTCTCCCACAGACATTTGACGGTTGGCTTTGTCTCATCTTTCAGGCTCTACTCATATATCATTTCCGCAAAGTGACCCAGCTTATCTCTCGTCTCCAAGACCAGCTTTGCTAAAGTCTGCACGCCCCAAGACCCCCTCTGTCATTTTCCCTCAGCCCCTACTTTACTTCCTTCGTAATATAGCTCACGGTTCATAATTATTTCTATGTTTATTAGAATTTCATCTCTCCTCCCATTGATATATTAGTTCCCCGAGAATAGAGCGTGTCCTGTCCTGTTTTTCACAGTGGAGCAATTCTCATGAATAAGACTCAGATCTTCTAAGTTCAAATTTACCTCCTGTCTACTTTTTTTCTAAGCTTTAATAGATTATTGTCAACTCATAACAAAATATCTAAAGCGATGATACGTTATACTATTTTTGTACAATAATCGAGCATATCTTATACAACATGACTTTTATTTGCCTGAATTGACTAATAACTAACTGTTCAAGCTCACTTAAACCACATTCTCAAAAATTTCTAATTAGACCAAGAGTTATTTGAGCCCAAGTGGACAGACTGATGGCATTTATGACCACCAACCACACTTGCTTGAATTAAAATGACTTGAAGAAGTAGGGCAGGGGGCTTATTAAGTAGGTAGCATAAAAATATTTTCAAAAGCATGGAAATCGTTTTTTGCGGTAATATTTATCTTAAAGTTGTTGTTTTTTTTTAATAGGCATCACATTTCTCAAATTCTAAGTTAATGAGTAAGCTAAGCTTTCTTATGTCTAAGTATTAACTTGGGTTTAAACAATGAATACATCTGTGGGTTTACATTTAAATGCCAACTAATTTTTTCTTTTGCAAAACACTACCCGAGTGAACTTTTTCTTCACTTAGTCTGATTTTCCAGTTTAAAATTATTCAGTCCATAAAGAAGGAGTATGGGTGGATTTGGCTACTGCACTGGAATAGGATTCATTTTACTTTAATTTAAAGGACATGGTTATAAAATTTTGGTCAAAGTTAAAAACAAATACACTTGATATTTTAATAATCATCATTTACCTAATTTTTCCATTTTCGAATGTTAAAGGGGTATTATTGACACAAACACAGAGCTCATTACTCGTTTTCAATGTCGCTATATCTCTAAATTGTTTTTGGAAAAGTGTTATTAATGGAATAAAATAAATCATAATCAAATTACATATTCGAGAAAGCCTTGATCACATTTGTACCAAATTGCTTGAGTAGGCTAAAGTTGGTCTCTGTCAATTACTCTATTTTTCTAAAATTATTTTGGAGAAAAAAAAGAACAGGAGATACTACTTTTTAAATAACCCAACTCTAAACTTAGTAGATACTGTAATATAAAGCGAAGCTAAAAATCAATTTAGAAAAAAATAAATGGACAAAATGGAATTTTATGTTAAATTTGTTTCCTACCTTTTCATTGGTATAAATGCATATTACATATATATGCATATATATGATATGATTCAATGAGATTTCGAAACAAGAGATGGTCATTTTTCTTTTACAAATATCATGAGAATAATTAAGGTAATTTGGAATATAATATATACCCATGTAAAAAAAATCAGTCGCAATGAAGTTTTTAAAAAGTAAACTCTAGAAAAAGCAAATAGAAATTATGCTTCACTTAATGAGCATTTGAAGTAATAAATTTATATTTTTAAAATTTAAAAAGATTATACGATTTATTTAAAAATTTTAGCAGTGAAAAAAAAACAACACACAAGGTAATTCCAGGATCATAAAAGGCAAATGGGAAAATATGTGATAGCTATAAAAAAAATTGGGCATGATAACAAGTACACCTTAATCAGGATTGAAGCAAGTTACTATCAAGATACGGCTTGAAAATTCACTGAAATCAAGTTTCTTGAAGTGTGTAATGTTTAAATAGCGAATACCTAATGCCAATTCCTGCTCAAGTCGAAATGTCAGCTTCTTAAAATAAATTGTTAGATAGATGTGGAGTAAGTTCTCATCAGGCTTGACTGGTTGTTACAGAAAACTTAGTCACGAGATGATATTAAAATGAAGACCCCGAAAACTCTGTAGCAGGCATGATTTAG